TAAATTAGATAAGGCTGTTGCTACTAGGGAGGTGAAGAAGGTTGATTCTTTGGTGAACAAAGACAACATACTTCAAAAGGATGCTGAGATGAATACTGACACTAACCTTGTTGAAATCAATGTGAAAGCTACCACAATTGGTAGAAGAATAGTTCATAGAAAGAAAACAGCTACAGCCAAAGATGCTAATTCTAGCAAGGTGGCTGTTACTGAACAAATGCACATTGATAAGGTTATAACTCCTATGAAAACTGTGGGGAAGGGTAATAATAAAAGAACTCTTGAGGACTTAACTCAGAAAACTGATGATGAGGAAGATGGTGACCTTGTGTCTAAAAAACTGAAAATGGGGGAAAACCTAAATACTGCTTTGGTGGAGGAAACCAGCCATAACTGGTCCCAAGGTCTCCAATGAAGGCTCTGGTGTGGAATTGTAGAGGGTTGGGGGGACCCTCTACAATTTCCCAACTCAAGGATTGTCTGAAAATCCACCTCCCAGATTTTGTGTGCCTGTCTGAAACAAAAAAAAAAAAGAAAAAATTTATAGAGTCTGTCTGTAAAAAACTTAAGATTAGTAATTGGCATTATGTCCTTCCTGTTGGGTTCAAAGGGGGGATGTTCTTATTTTGGTCTGATAGGATTTCTGTCCTGGATATTATAGTCTCTGATTTTGGGTTGGAAGTTAAGTATTCCCTAGCTGGCACCCCTGATGTGTGTTGGGGTATTTTTGTGTATGCTAGCACTGATAGGGAGATTAGGTATAGCCAGTGGGAAGTGATCTTAAGGCATAGTCTCTACTGGGGTGAGTCTTGGTTTATCTGTGGAGATTTTAATGATATATTAGATCACTCTGAGAAATCAGGTGGCCACAGAAGGGAAGAGGCTAGCTTTCTGGCCTTTAGGAACCTAGTTTCTGGCCTGGGTGTCAGTGAAACTAAAACCTTAGGTCACCCCTTTACTTGGTCTAATAACAGAAAAGGGGACCAAGCCATTGAGGAGAAACTTGATAGATTTTTGTTCTCCCAAAATTGGCTTGATTGCTTCCCTAATGCCTTGGTTAAAATCATTCCCATGTCTGCCTCTGATCATTCTGTTATCCTGCTCGAGAGTAACCCTGGGTGTGAGGTGCTTAAGAACAGGTTTGTTTTTGAGGCTAGGTGGTTTAATCATGAAGGATTCAAAGATCTTATCTCTGAAGCCTGGAACCTCTCTGTACCTGGTCATGCCCTGTACAGTATTCAGCAGAGACTGAAGAATGTCAGGACTGCTATTACTCATTGGAAGAAGAGGAATGTGGGTAATGCTAGGTTGAATATTGAAGAGTGTAAAGAGAGATTAGCTAACTTGAGAGCTTTAGGTGGGGAAAGGGACTGGGGTGAATGGAATAGATGTAAAATTGAATCCCAGCTGGCTTATAAAAGTGAAGAGCAGTTCTGGAAACAGAAGTCTAGGGTTCTTTGGCTTAGAGATGGGGATAAAAATTCAAAATTTTTTCATGCTTGTGTTAACCAAAGGAGGAGAATTAATTCTCTGGATAATATTGTCAAAGCTGATGGGTCTAGATGTCAAGATCAGGGAGAGTTGCTCAGTGAAATTATGCAGTATTTTGAAAGACTCTTCCAATCCTCTAACCCTCTTGATAATAACTGCAGCTTAGATGGCATATCTAGATCCATTACTTGTGATATGAATGCTCAACTTGTTTGTTCTGTTACTGATGAAGAAATTGAGAGTGCTATGTTTCAAATGGACCAGGACAAGGCCCCAGGGGCTGATGGATTTACTGCTTGTTTCTTTCAAAAGTCCTGGTCTACTGTTAAATATCATGTGTGTTTGGCTGTGCATAATTTCTTTGATTCTGGTAAATTGCCTAAAGGTCTTAATCATGCTGTTATTACCCTTATCCCAAAGAAAAAGAACCCCTCTAAGGTTATTGATTTCAGACCTATAAGTCTTTGCAGTGTGATATATAAGCTGATTGCTAAAATTGTGTCTAATAGGATCAAAACTGTTTTGCCTCATTGTATTTCTAGTGCTCAGTCAGCCTTTGTTCCAGGTAGGCAAATCCTAGATAATGTTATAGTGGCCAATGAATGTGTTCATTACTTAAATAGCAAAAGAAAAGGCAACCAGAACTTCATGGCCATTAAACTTGACATGGCTAAGGCCTATGATAGAGTAGAATGGTCATTCCTTGTTAAAGTCTGTAGAAAATGGGATTCTGTGAAACTTTCATATCTTGGTTACTTGCTTGTGTGTGCACTGCCTCATATTCTTTCAATTTGAGTGGTTCTGTGCTTGGTTTTCTCCAACCTACCAGAGGTCTGAGGCAGGGAGACCCTTTATCTCCCTACCTGTTCATTATTGTCTCAGAAGCCCTTTCAAATCTCATTAACCAAGCCAGCAACCTTGGTCTTTTTCAGGGTCTGAAAATAGGTAGACATGCTCCTCCAGTAAGTCATCTTTTCTTTGCTGATGATTCTTTATTGTTCTGTAAAGTTGATGCTGATCATGCCAACCTTATTTGTGACATTCTTTTTCAATATGGCATTGAGTCAGGTCAAGCTGTGAATTTTGACAAATCTTCAATCTTGTTTTCTAAAAACACCTCTGTTGGAACTCAGGACCATATCTGTGGAATTCTCTCTGGTATTAAGAGTGTCAAATCCTCTAGATATCTGGGGCTTCCATTAGGCATTGGTAGGTCTAAAAGAGATACTTTCCAGTTTGTGAGTGAGTGTGTGAGTAACAAAATATTGAGCTGGAAAAACAAATTTCTGAGTGACTCAGGGAGAGATATTATGATAAAATCTGTGTTGAGTGCCCTTCCTACATATGTAATGTCTTGTTTTAAAATTCCAGTAGCTGTTCTTAATCAAATCTGTAGGGATATGGCTAATTTTTGGTGGGGCAAGAATGAGCAGGGGGGTAATAGAATCCACTGGGTTGAATGGGATAAAATAGCTAGGTCTAAGGAGGAAGGGGGATTAGGATTTAGAGATTTCAGAGCTTTTAATGAGTCTTTATTAGTTAAGCAACTGTGGAGGATCCAATCTTTTCCTAATCTTTTGGTCAGCAGAGTGCTTAAAGGGAGATACTATTGGGATAGGAGTTTGCTGGAGGTTCAAGCCAAGAATGGGGATTCTTGGCTTTGGAAGAGTTGGTTAGGGGTTAGGAAGACATATAGGTTGGGGGCTAGGTTTGAGGTAGGTAATGGTAGGTCTATCAAAGTCTGGGACTCCCCTTGGATCCCTAATAATTCTGATTTTAAGCCTAAATGTTGCTTCTGGGGTGATAAAGTTAGAGTGCAGAAAGTTAGTGATTTGATTAGACTGGGGGGTAGAGAGTGGGACAGGGATTTAATTCTCCAAACCTTTGATCCTTCTGATGCAGCTCTGATTTTAAAAATCCCTTTGTCTAGTCATAGACAGAAGGATAAGATTATATGGCATTGGGACTCTAAAGGTAATTTCACTACTAAGACAGTGTACCAGTACATTATGCATAACAAAGGCAGGGAGCAGAATTTAGCTTCTACTAGTGGTTCTCCAATTTGGTGGAAGAAAGTTTGGCATAATACTTGGCATCTTCCTATCAAGCCTAAAATCAAATTCTTTCTATGGAAATGCTGGTATGGGTTTATTGGGGTGGCTGGCAAGTTGGCAGGGAGAGGTATGGATATTGATAAGATTTGTAGGGTTTGTGGTGAGGATGTTGAAGACTTAAATCATTTACTGTTCAACTGCCCTAAATCTAAAATCTGCTGGAAGTTGAGTGGGGTAGAATGGAGTAGCTTGAATGAAAAATCCATCACCTTTCAGCAATGGTGGATGGAGCTGTGTTCTAAAAGATTATCTGGTTCTGTAAAGGAGAGGCTGGTCTTTTCTGTTCATCTCATCTGGAATTTGTGGAAAGCCAGAAATAAATGGGTCTTCAAGGGGGATTGGTTTAATGAACAAGACATAGTGAGGGGAGCTCATTCTGAGTGGGTGGAGTGGAATTCTAACAAACTGTTGAAGGAGATTGATTCTAACTCAGTTGGGGATTCTGGGAGGGTAGGGTTGCCATGGTTGACAATCAGTGCTCAACTAACTGAGGAAGGGTTGATTGAAGTGATGTGTTCTGGTAAGGATGGGGAAAATAAGAAGCTGCAATGGGATGGTGTCATAGCAAGTGCAAATGGGGAGATGGATGACACTACAGCAGTTCTTCATGCTGCTAAGTGGAGTCTGGAGCAATACAAAGAAACAAAAGGACAGCCATGTACCTGCTATTTTAATGATACCAAAGCTGTGAAGTTACTGTCTAATTCTGTATCCCATTGTGGCTCTTATGTTGAATTAGTAGAGGAGGTTAAGGCTTTGTTTATGGCTTGTAATATTGTGAATTGTTTGTGTTTTTAGTTGTAGTAGTTGGACCATGTTGGTCTTTGAGGAGAAGGCTCTGTCTTTCTCGTTGTTGCAATCTGTTGATTGCTCGTTTGTATCAGAACATCTTATTTGAGTAATTTATTTCTGTTGTTTGCCTTGGAAAAAAA